CGCCTCCCTGGCCTCCGCGTGGGCCGCTCTGGCCGGGGCGTGAGCGCGGGCGCTGCGGTCGTGGGGCGGCTCCGACGGGGAGCTTTGGTGGGCGCGCGCGCTGTGGGCCGTGGGGTGCTCTTAGTCCTGTGAATGAACTCTGCACAGAAGAAGAGCCTGTGATCAGAGGGGTCCTGGTCCCCTTCCTCCGGCCCGCCGTCCAGCTCCCCCTTGCCACCATGCAGACCCTGAGAAAGATGTCCTAGCTCTGCCCTTGCTCCCCCCCACCAGCAGGTACCTGAACCCCACAGCTGCTTAGTGACAGTGGCTAGGTTGCTCCAGAGCGCCCAAGCCCAAATCCCCTAAGGGCCCCACTTCAGCCAGCTTTTGAAAGCCATTGCAATGGAGGCTGGGGGCAGATCTTGATACCAGCCAGGGCACTGGGCACAGGTGACGACAGCATTCTAACATGCAGGGTGCACCCCTCCCCTGCTGCCTCCCCACCCCACCCCCAATCCCACCATCCAGGAAGGACTTCCAGCTCCATGACTCTGGACTTCTGATTGAGTCCACTGCCTTGGCTTTCCTCCCAGCCTCTCCCCTGTGCCCCCATCCCATCAGGAGTCCTGCACTGCTCTGAGACTCCATGGCCCTCTGCCATGGAGCTGGGGACACTTAATGGCTTCTCTAGCTGTGCCAGGCAAGGCAGGTCCTGGTGTGACTTCCCCCTGTGGCCACAACGTCCAGCCCAGAGTTGGAAGCTGGCAGAAGTGCCAGGAACTGCTGAGAGTGAGTGAATGGATAAGGGCCAAACTCCGGGGAGCCCGAAACCAGATACTGGAAGGATGAGTTCACAGCGGCCCTGTCTCTGCATCCTGGGCGTCTCTTCCTGAGAGCTAAGCAGCCCCCTCCTCAATGCAGGGCATCTGTCAGGCCTTGGCCCTGCTCCGAAACACCTCTCCCCTCCCACCAACCACCACACCCATTGCCTTTGGCCTGCAAGGAGGTGCCTGATCTGTTGAGCTACCTGCCAACATTTCCTGCCTGGGAGCTTGCACAGGCCAGCTGGGAAGGCACAAATCTGGAAGGGGGAGGTGCGGTAGACAGATCTTGTTCAACACCTAAGGGCCTGGCCCTCTGGGCTGTGTACCCTGGTAGTGCTGTGAGTTAAACACTTGGTTGCTAGCTTAGTAGTCAGTAGGGAGAACGATGGGGCTGTCTGCTTCCATAAACATTCCCAGTCGCAGCATCTCCACGGAGCA